AATTGTCTACATTTGAGTCTACAGTTTGCCTAACCAGTTTTTCTCTTTTTGAGATTTGCCATAGCTCCTTAATTTCCTTACTCTCTCCCTGTCTCACTAGGGCCAAGCTTGTCTCTGTCATCAGATACCTGGCTTCCTCCCCACACTCCCCCAACACCTCTCCCGACCCCCTCCACTGCCCACCCTACCCAGTAAATTAAAAGAAGAATGTTATAAGGTCCCTGGGTGGTGCGGTTTGCGCTGGGCTGGTAACCAGAAGGTTTGAAGTTCAAGTCCACCTACAGGCATCTCAGAAGAAAGGCCTGGTGATATCTTCCAAAACATCAGCCATTAAAAACCCTATGGAGCACTGTTCTACTCTGAAATATATGGGGCTGCCATGAGTTGGAATCAACTCCACAACAACTGGTTTTGGTTATTGACAAATGCCTTCCTTTAGGTTCAAGGTCATCAGTATTTTCAAAGACCTTCCACTTCCCCATTTCCTACCTCTATGACCTCATACAGGGAGCACTGTGAAAAGTACACTGGACTTGGAATAAGAAAACCTGAACTCAAATTCCAACTCTGCCTAGCTATATTAGCAGAAGAAAGTCAGCTAATTGTTCAGGCCTCATTTTCTTCAAGTACAGAATGACTGAGTCAGAGCAAATATATAATATTCCTGAGTGATCTAAGAGACTTAAATCTGGAGGTTGGGGACTCCTGCTCTTGACCTTTCTCTTCCTTTTCCATCTGTCACAGCTTACTTCTCTATTTGTCCTGATCACAAAGAGACTTACTTTCTCCTCAGTCACACTGGGTGGTGTTATAATTAATTTTTGTTAACTTATTAATTTTCTTACCCTACCTAGGTAACCAAATAAAAATACAGACCTTGTAAGTGCGCTCTGGAATTCTCTAGTAGCATAACATAAGCTACTGTTAGGCTTGTTGGGTTGTGAACTGAACTCCCTCACCTTCCTTGAATCATCCATCAAGTATTGGCCTATCCATAGAAGAGCACGCTGTAGGGAGAGGCTAGCCTGACCACGCTTTATCCCTGGAGATAACAATGAGGAGGAGGAAGAGGAAGAGAAAGCTGAGCAAGGTGGTTAAGAACAGTGGTGTCTGGAGCCAGCCTACCTAGGTTACCTGCCTGGCTCCACAACTCACTAGCTGGTGGTCTTGGAGAAGTTAGTCTCCTTCCTCAGTCACCTCAGTTTCATAATCGACAAAATAATAATAATACCTACCTTGCTGGGTTGTTGTCAGGATTAAAAGAAAGTAAGCATTCAATAAACGTTAACTATTAAGATGATGCTAAAATTCAAAAGCATTTTGTTGGTATTTAGGACTCTGAACTCATAGAAGCACAGATGTTATCAATTATTGTATCTATTCATGTCCTCTTGAATATTAATTTTAATCATAGAACTATTGTTATTTCTCTTTTTCCCTTACAGCATTGGCATTTCCAGTCTTTCATGCAGACTCACAGTATTGTAAATCTCCTCTTCCCATGTATTCCATTCTTTCCATTTCTCTCTGGTATTCACATTGTAATCATGGTCCTCCTCTGACTCTTTTATGCTCTGTATTGATTGGCTTCTTGTCCTGGCCTTTATTTCTCTCTTGCTTAGTAGTCAGCATCACCAGCAGATGTGGAAAGTCAACTTAGACATGATGCAACAGTCAGGAAGGGGACTGGGAAGAGCAGGAGACAGGAGCCACATGCTGGAGTAGAGGGAATTTGTTAGCAACCAGTGGCGAAGGGGTGTCTGGTGAACGGGAGCTAGAGAACATGGCAAGAAACACTCAGCCATCTGCAGTAGTGCCTGGTATGTTAGGCAGAACAGTGATGCCAAGCAGAGGTAAGCAGGGTTGCAAGGCGGCAGCAGTGACCTACCAGTTTGAGGGAACACACCACGGGGATGGTGTCAAGGCTGAACAGAGAGCAGTACTTTTCATCCTTGATGTTTGGACCTGAACAGTTGAAACAAGACTGCCACACATCCTTCTAGAAAGCACTTTAGTAGCATAATGTACGAGTGTTAAGAGCACAGAATCTGGAAAAGGATTCATTATCCAACTCTACTGCCTACTGTGTAACCTTGAATAAATGGCTTAACCTCTCTAGGTTCAGCTTCAGCTGAAAGATGGAGATAATACTGAACTCATAAGTTTAATCAACACAAAGCACCTAACAGTATGCTAATAGTGGCCACTATCATTGTTGTTATTGCTGTTATTATTTACTATTACTATTACTAAAATAATGCCACCCACTCTAATTAGTCTACCAATAGGAAAAACTCCGAGAGAAGAAAGCAAATAAATACAATAAGGCAAAAAACAAGGCTTATGGTTTGCTTTTTCAGTCTTTAGGGTGATCCAAGAAATGAGTGGAAAGAAAAATTTCTATTAACTCATTTTGACTTAGTAGCAAGAAGAAATGGGGTTAAGTTGCGCTTGATAACTATGCAGCTCACAAATGCAGAAATTTATTTCTGATCTTTCCCTATGGAAGATGTTTATCTTTGTGTTTTAATTAACTACTGCAGCATTTTATCCTGAATTTTATTAAGAAACCAACTGTTATTCAGAAACTTTAAAGATTAACATGATTTTAAATCACTAATAAAATGTCTTTATGGGCATCTCCTTTGGACTTTTAATTTTACAATATAGATAAGGAGGTAAAATCTGCTTATGAAAATTGGTTTGAATATTGAAAAATTAGAAATTCTAGCTAGAATAAAATATAATCCATCTTAAACACTTTAAATATTTTAATAAAGCAATAAAATGTTCTTTTAAAAATAATTTATTTGTGGATGGAATTAATAAAATGCTTCCAACCAAAGCACTATTTTGAAGAGAAGACTGCTTTAAAGTATACGAGGACCTCAAATTAAATGACTTAAGTACTTCTTTTACTAGAAAACATTACATGGTAAGATTACACATGCAACTCGTGAGAAATTAACTTCCCTTTCATATTTAAAACTGTATACTTTCTGCTTATTTTACCTGATTGCATTTGAAGGTACAAATTACATTCTCAAAAATTGCTTAATTGCATTCTCGAAATGTAACTTCCCCCCGACCCTGCCCATCCCCAAAAAATTATTTTAGTTTTGGTCATTCTCTAAGGCAGGCCTCTTGTAACTTGTTTAATATACAATGTTTAAAAGATTCTGATTCATGAAAGGCAAGATACCACCTAAAACAAAAAGTGAGTTTGCAGACTGGGTTCCTTTGCAGTCTCAGAGCATGGGGGAGATATAATGAACTTTTCTTTGTAGAAACCCGGAAAGGGGCGGTGGGAGGGATAGATATAGCAGCTCACAAGTAAGGTGGGTTAACACCAGAATACAACTGGCTCATTGCCCAGCGCTGCTTGTTCTTTGAGAGGCAAAAGAAGAGATTTTTTCTGTCTGTTCTTTTAAAGTCTACACAGTCTTTGGCAATCTGGGAATTGTCCACACACAATGAGGGAATCTGGTGAGTTTAAAGATTGTGTCAGTCACTCAGAATTCATTATTGTGGAATCCCCTTGTGGTAGCCAGCCTCCAACATGGCCCCAAAAGATCCTCCCCTCCAGGTATTCATGTGCTTGTGGAGTCCCCTCCAACACTAAATAGGACTGATCTGTGTGAGAAGACGGCAGAAAAGATGGTGTGTGTCTTCCGAGGCTAAGTCATAAAAGGTACTGCAGTTTCAACCTTGCTCTTGTTCACTTTGAAATGTTATAAGGGGATATGGCCTCACTTAATCAAATATAACTCCAAGCCCCAAAGATTAGCCCAAGAAAGCAAATTTCTGGGTTGGGAGAGGCAACTGATTTACCTGCCACCCCTTGGAGAGTTTAGTCTTCCTTTGTGGTCCTCATTTTGATTATTACTGCCACCCCCATACTGGGACTAAAAGGGTGCTCTTCACATTTAACATTCTGATATGAGTGGAAGAAACCTCTTCCCTTGGTTACCCTATCATACTGCAGACAGGCTGAAATTTTAAAAAGACTTTCTATATAATTAGAGAGAACACAGAGGAAATATACTCAGAGAAAGGAAGTATAAAAGCATTCTACCTAATAACATATATTACATAATCTCATCAATATTTAACCTATATAAATACATATATATCTATATAAATGCACAGAAAAAAGTCTGGAAGCTTACAGGCTGAGCTGTCACTTATGGTTACACGTGGAAGAGTAGAGGAATGGAATGGTTGAGTATATGTGGAGGGTAAGTGAGGAGTAGAAAGGGATATAGAGAGGGAAGGAGGAATTGGATTTTTAAAAATATATTCTCTATTATTTGAAAATTGATGCTGAGACTATATTAATGAATCACTTGTGTAATAAAAAAAAATTGCGTTAAAAAACCCAGTCAACAAAAACAAAAACAATCCAGTTTACAACAACATAGAGCTCTTGTAATTATATATTTATTAGCTTGTTTCTAGGTCTCCTGGCCACCTCAGCCCTTTTTTACTAATCCTGAGGCCTTTAGAATGCTTTGCTGCAAACTTTCTGGGTTTCTTACTTGGCCTGCCTCCATACGGATATGTTTTCCTAGGACCCACTACCAAACAGCTGTCTCAGAGACATCAAGTTTGGCACCTTCAAGGCCAATACCAAGGGAGCAGATTGTTCCATCTGCTATTGTATCAGTCAGCTTTATATTGCAACATCAATTCTGCCTGGCCAACCCACCCCAAAACACAGTGCTTAAAACAATAATCCCTTATTCTGCAGGTCAATGGCTCCAAACTGGGGGTGGTTTCTGGTCTGCTCCATGTGTCTCTCCTGCTCCTTGGGCCAGCTGACTACCTCGGGTACATTCTTCTCATTGTGAAAGGCAGAAGTGCTACAGAATCAACTAGAAAAACACAATTACCTCTTGAGGCCAAGCTAAGAACTGCCACATTGCCCAATTCTGCCCAAGTTCCTTTGACCAAAGGAAGTCTCATGATGATGCAAACCCAACATCAGTGGGGTTGGGAAACATTCTACCTCTGAGGAGAGGAATTGAAAAGCAACATTTCAAAGGGCATGCATGCAATGGAGGAGTGAAGAAATGGGAACAATAACGTTATCTACCACAGCTATCCATTTGGGACTTTCCAGCTAACTTCCAACTGGTGGTGGGAGAGAGATATTTCTTCTCAAAGTGGCTGACGACAGAAATGATTTGACCCTGCAGGTGAGACCTGTCCCTAACTATAGGACTGGGGCTTTGTCCCTACATGCCCCTTAGTTGAATCGTACCTTCTGCAATGTTATGGAGATGTGGTAGCATTATTAACCAATTAACCTCTTAACAAACATCAAAGCGACAAAATGGTTTCTGTAAGAGATACTTTGCTTTATAGGAAATAGAGGATAAAAATACTGCCCTAGAAAGGGTGTTATGTTTGTAGTATATTGTTTACTGTTTACTAGAAGTTCGAATGTTATCAAGGCCTTACATTTTCTTTAGTTCAAAAAAAGTACCAATAATAGCCATGTTTAAGCCACAGGAATCCGAAAAACCATGTTAACGTTGAGATGATCTCTTTGAGTAATCCTTGTTATCCAGTTTCTCTATGTTTAAGAGTAAAATCCCTTAAATCAGAAGCCCCCAGAGTTGCTTTTGTAAGATAGGAAAGGAAGAATCATTCCCAGTAAACACGGAGGCAATAACAGCTTTAAAAAAGAGATCATTAAATTCTTAGGTTCTTCGGGGACTTAAATCAGTGAAGACTCTTGTGGTTCTCCGAACATATGAGCCCTACTCCTAGGGTTATTTGTATGGTTCCCACGTTCCGTTCAAGAACTGCTCGACTTCTATTCCTCAGGGTTTCTTCTTCGCTCAAGACTGGTTGTGGAGCAGCAAAAAGGGTAAGGCTGGGGCCCATAAATGAACCTGATAAATACTGTGCCAGGTGCAAGGTACATCGAAGTGCGGAGCGCCAGGCACCGGAGCAGAATCAGCCACCGCGCGCACCGGGACAGTCATGCTCTTTGTTAAAGAAACAAATACAAAAAAACGCGGCGGCGGGAAGAGGTAGGGGGATAGATTGGGGGCGTTTGTATGCATAACTGTGCGTAAGAAGGACCGTTAATGGGAAGCTCCAAACGCAGGACACCCAGGGCACCGTGTCATTGGCTTTTGTGCACTTGAAGGCGCGTGAAGAGAGCCTTAATCAGAGATTCCCCTTTGTGTGAAAGTGTGGAAGCCAGAAGGGTTTAGCTACTGCTGGGTTTTCATTTTCGATTTCGTAGGTATTAGGATCAAACTACTCCCGCACCAAAACACTCCCGCATTCTCGCATCAACAATAGCCGGACTTGAGTTACTTCTCCGTCACTGACCGAGCGAGGAGCGACAATGGCTCGGTGCTGGCGCCAGCAGCTCCCGGGCAGCGACGAGGGGGTCACCGACCGCGCTCCGCAGCTGCGCGCTGGGCCCCGCCGTCCCATCGCCAGCAAACGCGGGCACTAACCGCCGCCCGGCCCGGCCGTTGGGCGGGTGGTAATTTCTGGGAATGGGGCGGGGTCCGCGAGTGTACAAGGCCCCGCGTTTACGAGCGTGGAGGAGGAGCGGGCGGTGCGGACCGCCGCTGGGCAGGCAGGGCGTGCGCCACTCGCGTCACTGGCCTGGGCGGGGCCAGGGGCGGGCCCAGCGTCAGGCTCCTGCCCGCCTGCGCCCCCACCGTTTACTTAGTCTCGGCTGGGGAGTGGAGACGGCAAGGACCTGGGCTAGGAGTTTTTCCAACCCGTGGTCCTCAGTAACTGTCAGACCGCCCTAGTGCGGAGCCATCCCTTGGGAAGACTGGGGCGGGGGGTCCTGGGTTGGAGATGCGGAGGACAGCTGGGACCCGAGGGGGGCCGGAGATAGTGACGAGGGTGTGTGCGTGCGGTCCCGATCGGCTGGGAGAAGCCGGCGGGCGCTGCAGGTGCAAGCGCGGCCCCGCCGCCCCCACGCACCTGCCCCGCGCGGCAGAGCCCCGCACCCGGCTGGAGCAGGGCGCGGAACGGGGGAGCCCCAGGCAAGGAGCGGGACCGTGGCAAGCGTCTTCACCTGAGAAGGCGGGTTTGGGAGAAGTTGGGGAAAAGGGGAGGGTTGGATTTCGGAGAGAAACAGAGGCAAGCTGGGCGGGCGGGTGGGAGCCGAGGGCGGCGGGCCCCGCGGGGTATAAATAGCCGGCCGCGTTTGACAGGCGCTGCGGTGACTGGCGGTGCCGCTCCCCGCCTCGCC